AGTAGCAATTTATCAGTTAATTAATTATACCCCGATAACACCTAGTTAAGTTAGCACTAATAAATTTGAGCCATTCACACCTCGTTCATTGAAACTGGTGACCTGTACCTCTGTGACACATGACCTCTACTCAATTTCCCTCTGTGGCCTATGAAATCAGTGATGTGTGACGGAGACAAGTGCCACAGTGGGAAGTTACCGCATGTACATATCTTCGAGTCGTTGTTTAACAGTGAGTGAGTGAGTGAGTTAAGTTTTACGCCCCTTTTAGCAATATTCAAGCAATATCACGGCGGGGGACACCAGAAATTGGCTTCACATATTGTACCCATGTGGGGAATCGATTGTTTAACAGATAACAGGAATAACGAGTGAGATTTTAGACCCAATTCCCTTTCCCATTTCTATCATAAACAATGATCATGTTATAACATTTTGTGGTAATCTGCTTGGAGTCATACTCAATAATATTTACCAATATTTAACAACTTTCCTATTTGCTTCAATATATACGGGAAATCTACCACACTCGCCATTTACTGCTGAATTACATGCATTAATTTTACCCCAAGATAGTTCTTACAAGCATATAAATGAACTTGTTCTATCGCATCGGATGCTTTGATTCCCCAGATCTCAGCGCCATACAAAAGGATATGGCATATTTTCGCATAAAAAAATCTTGAAAAAAGAGTTGTATAATAAGTCACCGAATATATTTTTATACATTTCATAATGTATATTAAAATCTTTTTACCTTGCAGTGAGGCTTGAACTGTATGCATGGACCATGAAAGATGGTTTGTAAAATTAACACCTAAATATTTATATGAATTACTTACTTCAAGAGCATCACCTTTGGAATAGCATTTTTCACCTTTTACCAATTATATAGTAATATATAATTTTGAATTATATCTGGATGTAACTGAATTCCATTTGTACAGTTTCTTTGGATCTGGATCGCCAATTCATTGATGAAAAATAAATATAAAATAGGACTTGGATACAGCCTTGTCTGACTCGAAGTTGACTGGTAATAGTGTCTGACAAATCATTATTATTTCCGACACATATCTGTTCATTTTAGAACTAACACCATGTCTAAGTAAAATATTCCATAATTATGATGACATAAATTCAAATTTAACCCCATGATCATTCCACATATGTTTATGCATTTATTTACAACATATATAACAGATTATGCTTATGTACAACGACTGGTAAAAGCTATGCTTGTGTAATGTTATAATAAAGTACGCATGCACCATCATACAAGAATATCAGCACAAAATACAACAGTGTACAATACAGATATCTATTGATGTAAAGAGCAAATGATGATTGGCATTATTTCTTTTTGGTGTGTAAGAAAAAATGACTGACATAAATGATTATTTGTGTGTGAGAAAATATATTTACAGCGAGGAAACACAAACAGAGCTGGGTCTAAATTGAAACATGCGCTATGCCTAATATAATCATCTCTTCATTGTGAAGGGAAACTGCATGTAGACACTGCAAGTCAGTAAAATGTAATCTATTTGATATTTGTAGCACTTAGCAGTGTCATAACAGAGATTGAAATGTAGTATGAATATATTGTTTTTGATTTATACGATGAAAAATGGAAGTTAGAAAGTACCTTTGAATATGCAGTAAACTAGTATAGCCTCTTCTGTGTCTCAAAAGATATCATTTCCTTGTATTCAAAATCGTTTAAATGCCATTTTGATATATATATATATTCTTAATTAAAATGAAGTCATTGTAAAATTTGCAGTGGATCTCCACATTTCATCTATACAACCATTTTATAGACCGTTACGATAAACCCTTACAGATACCAAAAGGATTTCCGTGATTTCCACTCTATTTGTTAATAAAATGTGAGCTTAACATTGCAGTATGATATGTAGGTTATGGCTGACATACTGTCTCCATGACTGTTGGTCTTACAATTACTTGAACGTTGTTTCTCACTTCTCTCAGTTATATACCTGCGAAATATTTGTGTTGGTGTCAAAAATCTAAAGATGTACAGGGCGACGAAATTCAAACACTGCGTTCAAGACAGGTCACCTTTCATGTTCCGGCTACCCGCCGTACTGAATTGCATGCATATAGCCGTATCAGCCATACTACGACAGCGAAATTCTGATTCATATACACAAAGAAACAGATCCGCAAGGAGGAGGGCACAGTTTGTGCCCATGGGGATGCCTACTTTCCGGCGAAATGTTTTACCCCCAAATTTCACAAAGATGTTATCAATGAGAAAATCCAGCATTTCCCATATTGTTTTCTTGGTAAACTTCAATTGACATTTCTTTTCATATTTGACAAATTGTCCTGATCCTCTGAAGATAGATATGTAGATATATCTTAGTTCATCAAGTTTGTTTACAAATGTCCCATGGATCAAGGAATGCAGTTTTTCCTTAAGTTTGTCATGTGGGATATCGGTATACAATGTTGAAAAATCAAATGTTTTGACAGAACGGAACTCGATCCGTTTCTAGATTGTAAACATGGAAGCAAATCCTTTGAGTTTTTGAGAGTCCACATGGTATTAATTCCGCTTGTCTACAAAACGTTCTGTGAATATGGAGAAAAACCCTTCCTTGATAGTATTGAGGATTATGGTTAATCTTTGAGACAGGGATTTGGTGGTACATGTGCTATTACCAGCAATATATCTCCTTGTACGGGTTTTATGTAGCTTTGGAAAAAGAAGAATGGGCATGTCTTCAGGTTTAAGAGTTAAGTCAAACGTTGATAGCACCGTTAATGGTATAGGCAAATTTCTTCCTCTGTTATGTGGCACTATGTGATATGTCACGTATACCAAGCTCTTTGATCAAACAATTTATGTAATGATGTTTACATATAATGGTTATGTAATCTGAGGCCTTGTCATTGGGAATAACTACAAACTTTCCATGCAGAGCGGGCAGACATGGGATGACATCTGGCTGGGACAAAATGGGTCTATTCCAATACTGTTTCTTCATTTTCAGTTTGTGTATTCTACCAATGACAACATCACGTACAGTTTGTCTATTCTACCAATGACAACATCACGTACTGACTTAACACACTCTGACAGACATTCCACAGGTTCTTTTTCTCTTTGGGCCCATATTTTGGCATATGTTTCGACAGCATCCATAATGATTTTAAGTTGTAATTCCCAATTGGTATTACGTTAATATACAGATGAAAAGGATTATAATTTTTTATAGCATGTAGGCCATTCATTCGTTTTAACAAAAAATATTCAATTTGTTACAACATACAGGACATTCATCCGGCTCGGTTTACCATAAAGGACCATCATTTGTCATAATACACTGGCTTTCATTAGTTTTAACATACAGGACTATCATCTGTTATAACATATAGGGCAGTCAATCGTTTTAGGATAAAGAACCAGCACTTATAACGAAACGGGCATTCACTCGTCTGTTTCAACATAAAGGACTATCATTTGTTATAACATACAGGACAGTCATTTGATATAACATAAAACACCATCATGTGTTATAACATATAGGATATTCATCCATGTTAACATAGAGGACTGTTGTTTGATATTGAATACAAGACATTCGTACGTTAATATACACATCATAAGGACGATCATTAATTGTAAACATAAATGACATTCATTCGATTCAGCATAAAGGACTACCGTTTGTTGTAACATACAGAGCAGTCATTTGGTATTACACAGTGGGCATTCATATGTTATTGTCAGCATTGGTAAAGAGACTCAGGTGCTGCCACAGAACTAACCTACTGTTACTTGAATAACCAGGAGTTGGTCTATGAGAAATTACTTTGAAGGTTCACAATCACCACCCCGTGCTGACATGGGTGAGACGGTGCTATCAAGGGTCAAACAGATACATTGTATGTTGTGTATCTAGGCAGGCACCAATTCAAACATGGAGATATAGGCATCTTATTTGTATCATATCTTACCTATATTATCTTATCTTAAAGTATATCTGATCTGAAGGAAGCATTTTACGCACGGGGTGACGCAACAACTTTGTCGCTATTCTTGTTGGCAAATACGTTTGGCAAGTTCATCATTCTATCACTCAGTACATGCACTTGAAATAATTAAGCCATGTGTTATCATTTCTTACACCGTATACAACAATGAAAAAGGAGACAGTAAAACCCCGGAAACCCGGACACTCGGAAACCCGGACACCCCGACATGTGGATAGTTACTGTTATGAACGTCGAACGACAGACGAAGACAGACCGGACAGCAGACTAACATACAACAGCCACGCTAAATACCACCAAGCCGCACAAGCGGATTTGTTTCCTCATCGTGATATTGGTAAAAGCTTCTTAACACTACGTATACCTTTCTAGTAACGTACGCGAGTTCATGAAGGGCCATGAACGGCCACTTGTGTTACATATCTCAAACATCTGTACCACGAATAAACCGAAATATGTGTCATTGTGCGTTACTAAACACCTGATGAGATGTGTCTTTCTGAGACGCCAGTCGCTATCTGCACATGCTACTTGTATACAACTTGTTCTCATATCTGGTGTCAGCGATAACATTGTTTATTTATCACATCGCACGTGTGAGGCGACACGGAGAAAAGAAGCCGAGCATCAGGAAGGATCATTGGATTTGACAACCAAAAGTTGGAAACAACAGTTGTACATGATGAACCACGGATAAAAGAAATTAATCATCGACATGAATCTGGTTTACGTATTTGACGAAAACCTGAAAATATATTTACGTGAATCATTTGTGTTTGGAGTTTACGTTTCAGTGTGCTTTTGATACATATTATATGATGTTTGATTTCATTGATCAAATTTAAAAAGAATTATTATAAATGAATGTAACGCATTATCCGGTATATGAACATGTTATAAGTACCACAAGCTCATCTGAACATAACATGATCTTAATTTGTCATTAAACTTAACTGAATTGAAACAACACTCACGTGGAATATGCACAAAGCTTCTGTTGAGGTCTGCTCCGGCTGCTATCATGCTCCTGTCACTGTCACTGATGGCGACTCCCTGGAGTTCAGGGAAACGTGATGTTGCTATTGTAAGCTCACAACCGACGGTGTTGACGTCTAATATGGTATCTGTTAGCCTCGATTTCAGATAAGACTTAAGTTCTGCCCGCAGGTTATCATCACCGCGTTGGGCGACGACATGACAATGTCCACCCGCCTACCTCGGTCAGCTCGAGAACAGGTCAATACCCCGCACTATCATCCACAACAGATGTCATTCTTAATTCAAAGATAATTTTGATTTTAATATTCTCCTTTATTGCTGACGAGTCAAACATCTGACGCTTTTGTTTTCTTTGTCGGAAATCAGATTTAATATGCAGCTAAAATTATTGATATATTTAAATGTATTATAATCCTATGTTGCTGTAGTATGATGTAGTTTGATGAGAGGTGTTTTCAAAAACAGGTTTAACATATAAGCTGGTTAGCTGGTTAAGTATATTTTAAAGTCATTAATTTCACAGCTGGGAGTGAGTGAGTGAGCAGGCAATAGTTAATCTAGAGCAATAGTTAATACGTTAATACAGAGATCACTTACCTCTTAGTTAGAAGGTTCAGCCAGTCAGTGTATAATCGGGGTACAGCGTGGGGTATAATCGGGGACATGTTTGAGGTATAATCAGGCTCAGGTGTGAGGTATAATCGGGATCAGGTGTGAGGTATAATCGGGGTCAGGTGTTGGGTATAATCGGGGTCAGGTGTGGGGTATAATCGGGGACAGGCGTAGGGTATAATCGGGGTCAGGTGTGAGGTATAATCAGGCTCAGGTGTGAGGTATAATCGGGGACAGGCGTAGGGTATAATCGGGGACATGTTTGAGGTATAATCAGGCTCAGGTGTGAGGTATAATCGGGGACAGGCGTGGGGTATAATCGGGGTCAGGTGTGGGGTATAATCGGGGTCAGGCGTGGGGTATAATCGGGGTCAGGCGTGGGGTATAATCGGGGTCAGGTGTGGGGTATAATCGGGGTCAGGTGTGAGGTATAATCGGGGACAGGCGTGGGGTATAATCGGGGTCAGGTGTGGGGTATAATGGGGACAGGTGTGGGGTATATTTGGGGTCAGGTGTGGGGTATAATCGGGGACAGGCGTTGGGTAAAATCGGTGACAAGCGAGGGTTATAATCAGGGTGAGGCTTAGGATATAATCGGGGTCAGGCGTGGGGGTATATTCGGGGTCAGGCGTGGGGGTATATTCGGGGTCAGGCGTGGGGGTATAACTGGAGTCAGGCGTGGGGTATAATAACGGACAGGCGTTGGGTATAATGGCGGACAGGTTATGTTCCTTTTTGCCCATGCGTGTGTAACCACTCTGTCGTCGTTTGACTTCTTAGAGTTGTAGACGATCTTCGATGTGCGGTAGACGATATGCGATGTGCGGTAGACGATCTTTGATATGCGGTAAACGATCTTTGATGTGCGGTAGACGATCTTCGATGTGCGGTAGACGAAGGTAATGTAGCAGCTTTGCTGTTACTTGACCTCTCCTCTGCTTTCGACACCATGGACCATGGTCTCCTGCTGATGAGACTTCAATATCACTATGGTATCAAGGACTCGGCCTTACGTTGGATCTCCTCGTACCTCCAAGACAGAACACAGATCATACTGATAGGCGATGCCAGATCAATTAACATTACACTTGCGCACGGAGTCTCTCAAAGTTCTGTACTGGGTCCTGTGTTGTTTGTCCTCTACACTGGCAGTATATCTAACATCATTTCCAAACACAGTCTAAAGCATCATTCTTATGCAGATGATACACAACGTTTTACCTCAAACTCAGAGATTACACTATCACACTCAGTGAAGGGTCTTGGATTACTCTTAGATCCCAGCTTGTCCATGGAAGCCCAGATAAATAACCTGTGAAGAACATGCTACTCTCATCTTAGAGTGATTGGTACTATCCGTCCTCTTATCACCACAGAATCTGCTCATTCATTGTCCGTGCTCTCATTCTCAGCAGACTAGATTACTGCAACACTCGGCCTCCCTGACACCCTACTTGACAGACTACAAAAAGTCCAAAATACAGCCGCCCGCATTGTCAGCCGCACTTCTAAACACAGCCACATTACCCGAGTTCTAAAGCAGCTCCACTGGTTACCCGCGAGAGCCAGGATTCAATTCAACACGCTGTGCCTCACATACAAGTCCCTTGATGGCCAGACTCCACCTTACATTGCAGACCCGATCGACCCCTACAGTACAGTCCAGCCCGCGTACTTCGCTCACAGCATACCAGTGTAAAATACACTTATCATACTTCCATTATTGCCTATAAATATTTGAGGTTCTCTGATATAATTATTTACTAAACCTAAACGGAATCGAAATATTCATAACATTTTCATTACAGCATATCTACAAGAAATGTAACAGTACACGTGTATGTGTCAGATTGAACACTGACAGCTACCTAGCAGGCTATAGTGACGTAAGGTGGACACATCCATCAAAGCCATCGCGCGCTGACTGTCTATTGTGGTATGACGGTCGCAGTTGGATAGATCCGGTATGGCGGTATGAATGATCCGGCCCACTAGTCAAATCTATTGAGCCAGGTTTTGGCAACATTCTTGCTCCTTGCCATGATATTCTGGCAGTGTCTGCAGGGCAAGTCATCCGTGACTTCAGATGACCTGTACAGTCTGAGAGTTTGACTAGCGCTTGACCAGAACTCTCCGGGAGGAAAAGAGGTATTACGCTTTGCATCATCTGCATACGAATGATGCACAGATCCGGTATGGTGGTCGCATTTGCATCGCCGTACAAGATATAATTGCTTAACAAGACAACAGCGACGTATCATCGGTCACGATTTATATTCAAGACAGTGTACAATTCATTCAGTAAGGTATCACTCAACTTCAGAACACAGCAGGGCGATTATTATAAAGGTGAAGCATCTTCACTGGTCAATACACAACACCACTGACAGTAAACTGCTTGACTGTAATCGTTCCTCTTCTTATTATTAAGGTAAGAACCATTTACGCCTGGTTATTTGATACTGTTGTCTTATATATGCATGGAATAATCTAGACAGTTTATGATTTTATTGGTTGCTCACTTTCCAATATAAACCCACTGGGACACTAGTGCGCTTTGTATGCGTTATTCTTCCTTGTTTGTATATGGATAATAAGTATTAATTATTTCTTATATGAATGATCATGCACATTGCGTTGTGTCTTACGATATGTCTATTCCTTAATTTGTATGTTGTCTATACATCTATCATCATTTAATGAATTACGCATCATAGTCTAAAGGTATTAATCCAAGCATATATATATTCATTTTCACTTACATGTCGTAAAACTCTCTCTCGACATGAGCGTGTGCTTAGCTCTACCTACAGCTATATCCCCTATCTACCTAGCTTCCCTTAAGTAAGACAAATATTGACATTTCATATCAAAGATGTTTGTATATGTTTCATGTATTCATATTATTGTCAATCCATATGTCATGTATTTCTGTTTATCAATTGTATCCAATTCTGTAACACAACACCACTGACAGTAAACTGCTTGTCTGTAATCGTTCCTCTTCTTATTAAGGGTATAATCAAGTTCCCTAACACGGGTCCAAAGCTTGATTATAACAGCAGCAAAACCGTCTCACAGTGTCTAACTATAAACTTAAAACCTTTGACTACAGAACTTTCTCCTACTCTTCCTCTGCCTTGTGGAACTCTCTCCCCTTTGACCTCAAACACTCTGAATCTCTGGTTTCTTTTAAATCAAATTTCAAAACTCACCTCTTTGCTCAATATAATCATCAATAGCCTTAATTGTTTATGCATTATGCACCTATTCATTGTCGTTTTCTTAACTCTGTATATATTCTGCATGTATTGTAATGTAGCGCCAAGAGCATGCTTACGAGCGTGGATTTGTGCGCGTTATAAATATGCATTATTATTGTTGTCATTATTATTATGGGTGAAAATCAATTCACGTCATTCATGGCAAGTCCTTTTCTGTATTGAATGTATAATCTTGTAATTAAGCTCTCCCACACCAAAAAGAAACGCATAGGAGTATTTTTACGAATTTAATCTGCTGACTTTAAAATGAGAGTGTACATGCAATTCTGGATCAGTTGCACCAAAATGTCGCTGTATAAAAGATCAACATATCCAGCTTATTATAAAGTTCAATAAGTGAAGGTGTCCGTCCTAGTTGGGTGTTCTCTTCAATATCTGTTGTTGCCACCATGAGCCCCCAAACTGATCCGGAACAGCTTTATCTGGCGGGCAATGATCGGAACCATGTGAATCCATAAGATAATTGCCCTGAAGGCGCACATATTTCTGCCTGTAGGATATGGCTACCCACATGATGACACTCTCACCACCATATCGGTCAACCTGGGCGATACAATTCTGGGCAAAACGTCCATATCGACGTCGATAGACACGTACTCCCCCGTCACCAGTTTTGTAGATTCCAGAATCGAACGTTATTGCACCACTGGACCCGTCGACGTCGATGTAGTCGACGTCGTTATAAATGTAAGACCGAACATATTAAAAGCATGTAACTTCTGAGAGAAATATTAAAACACAAAACACTGACTGGATTATTACAGAACGCTGTTGTGTTCCTGGAGTGTTGTGTTCCTGGAGTATTGCCATGTATGGCTTTAACACTCAATCACTGTCCAAAACAGCCCTAAACCACTCAGTAACTATGACAACACGTATACCCATACTCAGTACATATCGTATCAGTATGTCAATAGAGCACGGTCTCCTCGTATTGCCAAGTGTACAAGTACACGAGTCACGCCATCAGATGGCGTTCCTCCATGTAGCAACGGCAACCAGAAACTGTAACCAGTAATGTATACTGTATATTTGGCACTTGGTGATAGATTGTAAGTAAAAGTAATTTTATGTCAAAGTGCTGCATTGGTGGTGAGAAAAACACATTGATAACTATACATAACTCTATGGTGCCTTCGTTGGGGCTTAAATCAAGTATCCCGGGCTGGTTAAAGCGTTTTTTGGGGGGATATCGTCTCTTCAAAAACAGAAGTCCATCAGTGGGTCCACAACACTTTATTTGTCAGCTAAGTATGCAGTTACATGGTAGTGCAGCAACGGCCAGGCAGCATCACAGAGGCGATCGTCAGCCCACCTGCCTAGCCGCTGTCCGAGGGTCAAGTCCCATTACATTAAGAATTCATTGTCTATATACTACTGACTGTCAGGCTGCCCTATATCGTATTACGATACATGTATGGTCAACCTGCAGTATCCAGCATGCACCTCATCCATAATGTTAAACTTCCGTGGCCAACCGGACATACTCTAAGGTTCATTAGGGTTAATTTACACGCAGGCAGCTGATCTGTACATGATAATAAGCTGTTGATATTTCATGTATATTGTCAGCACTGTGATTTAGATTTAGATAACTTTAACTTAACTCAGAGAATATACAAACATATCTACATTTCCCGATAAAACCCATACCCCATCAAAGTGCCTACGACACAAGACTCGAAAATGACACCATTTATTTTCTATGAACAGATAACCTGTAGATTCTGTCATTATAAGTAATGGATGCTATATATTTAAACACACTGATTCGGAAGAAAAACAAAAACCTGTTCGAATGCAATATCCGAAGTGATCAATATTATCAACAGTTTGTTTGCATACGTAGAAGATAGAATGCTAACTGCATATACACAGTCGCTTGACAAACGGCCTCCGACTGAGTAAGGCTGAACTGCTTGACTATAGACAACAGCGTAGCCTTTGACCCAATCGGCATCGGACCGATTATTCACACGTTAGATATAAATACGAAATAATGACAGCATGATAGATTTGCCCATATCCACACCAGCAAAGGACACTAAACTTATTGTCAATAAATACCGAAAAATGTGTCACGAGAAAAGAAATGTCGGTGTCGTCGAATTGAGTTTCCTGTGAAAAATTATCCGGCTCCGTCATCCCATTTTGAGGCGACATATGACGTGACGTCTGTTTCGTGGTGCCGTCTGCAACCCTCATCATAGCGTATTGTCAATGCCAGTACAGGGTTTCGTTATAAGCCTAGCAGTTTTGAAGATACTAATAACTGCCAGTTCCTTTTGGAACTTTGAGATGTTTACGCTGAAGCGCCGACAAGTCACTGGACATTACTGGATCATGTTCTTTTATTTGTTTGTCCGTATGTTGTAGGTTTACTCCGATCCGACGGGAGCGTGCAGTGTCGTTGCAGTGTCATATTGGAACATTAATTGTTTGTACAACACAGAAATTATTAAGTTTTTGCATACTATGAATTTATCTTCGCCTTGTTCGGTACTTGCGTGTATTAGGACGTTGTTTCATTGATTGGTCTAATACGGATTCTTATACTGTCAACGCCAAAATACATCGTGGTTTTGTTTATTTTCTTTGACGGCGCAAAACAATGACGTAGCCACCGCTTTCACACTTCGTAATTCACTCACGATGACATCTTTCACTTCGTTCGTAGCTTTCGAATACAATAGAAGTTGTTTTAAAAATATGGACCCGCTGTAGTAGGTTACAGTTCACGCTCCGTTCCCACGTCGTTATCCTAGTACACACAACTCCAACGTGATGAACCTCTTTGCAGACACTGGTTCGTTTCTGGGACATTGTTACCTTATTGGTGACGCTTGGTGAGGGAGCAGTTTCTGGAAGACTGATTAAAGCGGACTGATAACTGTGGGTGGAGGCCTTCAACGACTTAAATAGACTTGTATGTACCTGCCCAGGGCAGAGGGTAACTATTGGAAAGCGCCGGCTTTTCTTTCTGTTTGTAACCCTATTTACTGGAGACTACGCCGGATCATGGACCGCATTCATCATATTTAATCGTGACACATTAAGTCATTCGTGAGTGCACTGACTTTATGTTTGTGTGTAAGTTGCCTTTATGTAATGACATTGTCAGATTCCACTTACTGAGCGGGCACATAACATTAATGCCTTTGCTGCACCAGATGAAGCCTGCTTCATGTTCTAGTTTGCCCTGATCTTTAGAAACATACTCCAGAGACATCAATAGTGAATTCTGGGAGGACAGTGTGTCGGATTCCCAGTGGCATATGCATTTGGCATCAGTCTTGTCATTACGTAATTGATTTTATGTATTTTTTGTAATTTACTAAATATAATCTGAGACCGTCCGTTTCCGTCATCCTACATAATTACTACATAATACCTCTTTGACAAGTTAACATATTTTATGTGCGCATCCCAGACTATCATCCAGGAACAGTGTGACCTCCCTGAACGACTGTAGACACCACAACATTAAGACATGTTATGTCCGCTTCCCAGACTATCATCCAGGAACAGTGTGACCTCCCTGAACGACTGTAGACACAACAACAGTAAGACATGTTATGTCCGCATCCCAGACTATCATCCAGGAACAGTGTGACCTCCCTGAACGACTGTAGACACAACAACAGTAAGACATGTTATGTCCGCATCCCAGACTATCATCCAGGAACAGTGTGACCTCCCTGAACGACTGTAGACACAACAACAGTAAGACATGTTATGTCCGCATCCCAGACTATCATCCAGGAACAGTGTGACCTCCCTGAACGACTGTAGACACAACAACAGTAAGACATGTTATGTCCGCATCCCAGACTATCATCCAGGAACAGTGTGACCTCCCTGAACGACTGTAGACACAACAGTAAGACATGTTATGTCCGCATCCCAGACTATCATCCAGGAACAGTGTGACCTCCCTGAACGACTGTAGACACCACAACATTAAGACATGTTATGTCCGCATCCCAGACTATCATCCAGGAACAGTGTGACCTCCCTGAACGACTGTAGACACAACAACCTTAAGACATGTTATGTCCGCATCCCAGACTATCATCCAGGAACAGTGTGACCTCCCTGAACGACTGTAGACACAACAACAGTAAGACATTTTATGTCCGCATCCCAGACTATCATCCAGGAACAGTGTAACCTCCCTGAACGACTGCAGACACAACAACAGTAAGACATGTTATGTCCGCATCCCAGACTATCATCCAGGAACAGTGTGACCTCCCTGAACGACCGTAGACACAACAGTAAGACATTTTATGTCCGCATATCAGCTCAAAATAGTGAGTGAGTGAGTAGGGTTTTACACCACTTTTAGTAATGTTCCGGCGGTACACCAGAAATAGGCTTCACATATTGTACCCATATGGGGAATCGAACCGGGTCTTCAGCTCAAAATAACACCAAGGACGGACAACTTAATGATGTGCAATTTTGTCAGTATATTCTCTCCAAAAATACTACGTTATTTTGTTTGACGCATAATTATCGTAAATAACAGAATCTGAAACAAGCAAAGCTGTAGGTGATTGGCAGATAAACGCCCGGATGTTCACCATAACAATGTTAAAGGAAAAACTGTTTTATTCAATGTTCTAGAACAAGAATTACAAGTGATACATATCTTTCCTTCTTTAAGAATTGACCTCAGTTACACTATATACAATTGGCAATGGACGAGCAATTAGTGAATATAACATGACAATTCTACAACAAGAAAGTTTATATTCTATATCAAATATACAAATGTAAACGTCAAAACGATGACTCCTGGCTATCAGAACTGTTGAACTTCCCGCCCCAGCATTGAGGAAACGGTGACTTCATAATATATTTCTATAAAAATACAGTTGTCTCAAAAGCGTTGAATACCAGGTTATTAACTGCAACCACTAAAACTGCTGATTGTTCAAATTGGCCCAAGAACCGGTTCCAGCAAAGAAGAGACTACGAATCAATCTTTCTGTAAAAACCCAGTTCTCACGAGTAAGAAGTTTCAAGGTGTGAAAAACACGAATATTAACTGCAAACACGATTTAAAACGCCTGAGTCTACGACAATACTCAGCAACGTATAAAGAGAATATAGCACATATATTTACAAAGCATATTCATTGTTACTGTCATATTCATATTGTTTTTCATATTAATATTAGAAATATAAATATTTAAGGATGGCGCTAAATAAACTCATCATTGAAAATAGTGTTACTCATATGCTAAACGGGTTACAGGTATCACATGTAACACTAGTTTTGTGGTAGGGGATTAATTCAAGCTTTAAATGTTTATTGATTACGTCTTGCACTTGCAGGGTGTGGTCACATTTCACTGACAGCTGGGGGAGGGTCTCTTCCCAGGTGCATGTCATCAGTCTGGTCAGGATGAGGCCCTGCCGGGGGCGTGCATGTAGGTCTGTAATATGATAAACACTCTCATATGTGATAAATATTAATACTGCTACATAATATCAAAATAATTATAAACACATGTCAAAATCTGCAATTAAATCAGTCAGAATAACAGTGGTTTAATCTAAAATTTAGCAATGTTAAATATTCATGAGACTTTAGTGTTTAATAAATTTGTTTGAGACAACTACCAGTCGCAACATGTGTATGTATGTGTGGTTTACCTTGGGCCTGAGGACACATATGCCGGGTTTGGAACACCTGCTGACTGCAAAGACAAGAGAGTGACACGCTTACATTTAAGCTGACGTCAGTCTCTACAACCTATTCGTTGTAAAAAAATACTAAGAAAGTTTTGCTAGATGGCAGTCAGTCTCAGGTCTACGGTCAGATGTTGGCGAAACCATCTCTATCTTCTCATACCAAATACAAAGAAAGAAACAAAACAAACAACATATGTTTTCACTAAATGAGCAACGTTTTATAAATTGTAAAATTGATCAAGTTGTACAAGTCTTGAAGGTATGATGTTGATCAAGTTGTACAAGTCTTTGAAGGTATGATGTTGATCAAGTTGTACAAGTCTTTGAAGGTATGATGTTGACCAAGTTGTAAAAGTCTTTGAAGGTATGATGTTGATCAAGTTGTACAAGTCTTTGAAGGTATGATGTTGATCAAGTTGTACAAGTCTTTGAAGGTATGATGTTGACCAAGTTGTAAAAGTCTTTGAAGGTATGATGTTGATCAAAGGTCTTTGTTGTACAAGTCTTTGAAGGTATGATGTTGATCAAGTTGTACAAGTCTTTGAAGGTATGATGTTGACCAAGTTGTACAAGTCTTTGAAGGTATGATGTTGATCAAGTTGTACAAGTCTTTGAAGGTATGATGTTGATCAAGTTGTACAAGTCTTTGAAGGTATGATGTTGATCAAGTTGTACAAGTCTGTGAAGGTATGATGTTGATCAAGTTGTACAAGTCTTTGAAGGTATGATGTTGATCAAGTTGTACAAGTCTGTGAAGGTATGATGTTGATCAAGTTGTAAAAGTCTTTGAAGGTATGATGTTGATCAAGTTGTAAAAGTCTGTGAAGGTATGATATTGACCAAGTTGTACAAGTCTTTGAAGGTATGATGTTGATCAAGTTGTACAAGTCTGTGAAGGTATGATGTTGACCAAGTTGTACAAGTCTTGAAGGTATGATGTTGATCAAGTTGTAAAAGTCTTGAAGGTATGATGTTGATCAAGTCTTTGAAGGTATGATGTTGATCAAGTTGTACAAGTCTTTGAAGGTATGATGTTGATCAAGTTGTACAAGTCTGTGAAGGTATGATGTTGACCAAGTTGTACAAGTCTTTGAAGGTATGATGTTGATCAAGTTGTACAAGTCTTTGAAGGTATGTTGATGTTGTAAAAGTCTTTGAAGGTATGATGTTGATCAAGTTGTACAAGTCTTTGAAGGTATGATGTTGATCAAGTTGTACAAGTCTTTGAAGGTATGATGTTGATCAAGTTGTACAAGTCTTGAAGGTGATGTGATGTTGATCAAAGGTTGATGTTGATCAAGTTGTACAAGTCTTTGAAGGTATGATGTTGATCAAGTTGTACAAGTTGAAGGTATGATGTTGATCAAGTTGTAAAGGTCTTTGAAGGTATGATGTTGATCAAGTTGTAAAAGTCTTTGAAGGTATGATGTTGATCAAGTTGTAAAAGTCTGTGAAGGTATGATGTTGATCAAGTTGTAAAAGTCTTTGAAGGTATGATGTTGATCAAGTTGTGTGAAGGTATGATGTTGACCAAGTTGTACAAGTCTTTGAAGGTATGATGTTGATCAAGTTGTAAAAGTCTTGAAGGTATGATGTTGATCAAGTTGTACAAGTCTTTGAAGGTATGATGTTGATCAAGTTGTACAAGTCTTTGAAGGTATGATGTTGATCAAGTTGTACAAGTCTTTGAAGGTATGATGTTGATCAAGTTGTACAAGTCTTTGAAGGTATGATGTTGACCAAGTTGTACAAGTCTGTGAAGGTATGATGTTGACCAAGTTGTACAAGTCTTTGAAGGTATGATGTTGATCAAGTTGTACAAGTCTTTGAAGGTATGATGTTGACCAAGTTGTACAAGTCTTTGAAGGTATGATGTTGATCAAGTTGTACAAGTCTTTGAAGGTATGATGTTGATCAAGTTGTACAAGTCTGTGAAGGTATGATGTTGATCAAGTTGTACAAGTCTTTGAAGGTATGATGTTGATCAAGTTGTACAAGTCTGTGAAGGCATGATGTTGATCAAGTTGTACAAGTCTTTGAAGGCATGATGTTGATCAAGTTGTAAAAGTCTGTGAAGGTATGATGTTGATCAAGTTGTACAAGTCTTTGAAGGTATGATGTTGATCAAGTTGTACAAGTCTTTGAAGGTATGATGTTGATCAAGTTGTAAAAGTCTGTGAAGGTATGATGTTGATCAAGTTGTACAAGTCTGTGAAAGTATGATGTTGATCAAGTTGTAAAAGTCTTTGAAGGTATGATGTTGATCAAGTTGTAAAGTCTTTGAAGGTATGATGTTGATCAAGTTGTCTTCCTTTGGAAACAGCTATGTCTATTTTATCGCATAAATGTCCACAGCTGCGGTAATAACTTGCAGAGGAAAACGTTATAATATGTTTCAGGTCGGGCGGGAAACACAGGCTCAAATAGGAAAAACCGACGATATTTGTACCTGGAGTTCAGCTGTCTGTCAGCGCAATAGGCTAAACGCTAAGGTGGTAAAAACAATTACCAGCACCCCAATTTTCAGTCCCACATAATCAAGACTACCTGACAGCTTAGAAAAGGATGTGTCAAGAATGTGATTTGTTACACACTTACGAAATCTCTGAAGCTGAGTTGATTGTAATCCTTCTCTTCGTCTTTCGCGCCTAGTGAGTCATATCCATCTTCTCCGGACTCTTTTCCCCCTTTACCAGGAGCTGTCTCGGACCTTTCCGGATACTGTGGTCCGCGTGTCACTGTCCTCCACCTAAAAGAAACAATGTATTTAATAGAAAAATATTTGGAAACTAAATAATTAAAAACTAGAGGCATTTGCCTTTTCAACAAAATGATATTGACGCTATCCTAAATAGCTGTGAGATTGGAGTCACTTACTTGTATATAGCCAATACTGCAACAATGCTGATCACACCGAGAAGGATCGCCATAGCTATGAACAACCCCAGGAATAGTTGTCTCTGTCCCGCGTCCTGTTCTAGACGTGAGTATTCGGTTTTAGCCACTAATTCAGTTTGGGTATATCCCACTAGGGTTATCGAAACTGTACACGATCTGAAACAAATATCACGCATTATTAGATCGATGCTTTAAGAAATGTTCATTTTTACCGAAAAAAAGAGCCAGACATTGAAGTAAACTACTTGGTTTGGTCATTTTCTTGTACAAATTAAGTCATTCACGGTATGTCTAGCCAATACATTATACCATCTTTGACAGCATCTGTCAGCATCAGTATCAGATTTATTATTGTTTGCATAAATCCAAAGTGGCTTGATACGATATGAACATACCCAGTCTTCGGAGAAGGATGGTTATCAGTGGCGGTTATTACTAATTTTAAGATTTGGTGCACCGTGTCATCAAATTTAAACTGAACAGATATTGTCCCAGTCTGGCTGTCGATCTTGAGATTACCCTGAAGAAGAAAAGTACAACTTAGGCATGTATAACCAGTCATATCGGCGTTCACACACAATTAGTCAGTGTTAAATATACTGAAAGCCATTAAAAATGCAATTTGACATTCATACTTTCTGTACTCACACTAATTTCAACATATATAAACCTAACTGGCAGATATGTTTTAAGTGAACATCGGTAAATAACAACATCAGTCACGCAACAACGACATCACACAAAAGAGGGGTCACTTGCAGTCAATATCGTGTCAACGTCAACATGCTCGCAGTCTTTTGGGCATTGAAAGACACACATTTCTCAGGAACAGCTGTTGGATGGTCTGCAGCCTCTGATGGTCTGTGGTCTGATCATGACACCACCCCCTCCAAAACGATCATGTTCAAGGACACAGTTTGGCGCAAGTCGTTCTCCTTTACGTCGATAAATCTGTTGACGTCCATCTGCAAAGGATAAGTTGAACCTGGATTCATCTGACAAAATGACATCTGGCCATGTCCTGTTGCCAAGATTGGCCCCATTTGCTGCTCATCGCTGTCTGGCAAGTCTGTGGCGATGCAATAAGGTTGGACCACGGTACGGGTGACGACACGGGATGTTGAAGGCAGCAAGGCGTCCTTGCACCTTTTGGGCGCTGAAATGACGTTGACTTGTCCAAATTGTCCTCCTTGCCTAATCATCGAGCTGTTATCACAGGTGGTGCACCAGGTCGCGGACGATCAAGCAACACTTCCGGTAGCCCGAAAACGTTGTCTGAGTCGACTTACAGTGGATGGATGCACATTAAAGTGCCTGGCAATCATCACATCTGAAGCACCTTGGCTGACCATACCGATAACCTGATTCCTTTCGTCTTGTGTCAAGTGTGGCATTTTCTCAAAGTGATTGAGTTCCACAATTCCTTGTGCTTTTACAGGGCCTGGGTGCAGGTAATGCATGTGCACAACGTGTTTCATGAATGTGGTTGTGTTTACGAGAAATGTCAAAGGTTCAGTTTTAAGTATCAAAGTTCATGTGAGAGGAATGTTCCGGGACTCGAACTCGAAATGGGCCAGAATAACAGCCTTTTATCCCTACATCCTCTGTATCGCAGGAAAAAATCTGCAATTGAACTTTTGTAAGTTTCAGGACAACAAATACCAATTGCTTTTTTTAATGGCTTACAGTATAGATCATATGATATTAGAAATATAGTTGATCCTGGTCAGATTGAATGAAGTTGTCCAATTTAAACCGACTTGAAGAACTTGTCTTATGTTGTGGCTATTTGGGTGAGTGAGTATGGTTTGACGCCGCTTTTAGCAATATTCCAGCAATATCACGGCGGGGGACACCTGAAATGCGCTTCACAGAATGTGCCCATGTGGAAATCGAATCCGGGTCTTCGGCGTGACGAGCGGACGCTTTAACCACAAGGCTACCCCACCGCCCCTGTGGTTATTTGGAGTAACATAAAGTTCATAAGCATGAGGGTGATGGATAGTGACATGACCTCAAGACTAGTACATATAGCTATATACAATGTCTCACCCTGTCATTTCTTGTTTGTATGGAGTATGTCACATTGTGGCCATCAGCGTCCATTGCTCTGAAGCCGTCAATCGGAATTTCGGTACCAGTTGTAGCTGAAAACAGCACTGACGATTCATACGTCTCTGAAACATATGGATACGGATTCGTTGTGAAGGGAAAACATAACCAAAGAAAGACAAAAGTCAAACGTCTTCTGAAATTATAATTTGTTATAACAACAGTGATTTAGGATAAGAGGGTGTATCTCTTTGAAGCAACTGCATCGTGCGAATAATAATAATAGGTAACTATCTATTCAACTGCACACTTCTGATGTACAGACTTACAAACCGTCGGGTCACGATACACACTTCCAGAACAACTTATGTCATTACTGCAGAGCACACCATGCGCAGGACGAGAATATCGGAATAAGCAAATCTGATTTATCATCCAGTGACGTAGTTCCACATATTATACCTTGTCCAAATACGGGCGCATGATAGTTATAATCGTCTGGTCGCACGTCTATGTAGACCTGTGTGATACTTTGTCGCAAAGTGGTGACTGGTCCTTGGAAGTTATCTTCTGCCACACTGACAACCATCTGGTGATGAGACAAATCAATCTGGTGATTCACGGATAAGTAAATCACGGTTACTCCGGTTGTATTTACTACTGGTTTCTTATGGTAATTAATGAGCACAAACAAAACAAGCTTGTTATATTTGTGTGGTAAGGCAACATGAACAAAAGCATTTAGAAAACAAAATGAGTTGATATATCAGTCTAAGTAAACTTAGGCTCAGTATTATTCGTGACACTGCTATACTGAGTCTAACAAACCCTAGTAGAAGGTCGCGTAAGCTAACCTGTACTGGTAGATATATCGAACTATTATTTCAGTTGTCAACCACATATATATAGCTGAAATAATATGTTATTTTAATTGCTTTACATGAGAAATATACACTAAACTGTATTCATAAATATACATTTGGAAATACTAGGTAAACAGCTGGTAATAATTAAGTTAGATCATGTTTTCAACAAACCATCATCATCATCATTAATATTGTTTAAAATAGGTTAAAATATTTTGAAAGCTGCAATTTTCGAGTGATGGAATTAAACAGAAATAGAGTTGTCGTTCTTCATTGAAGGAGTTCTGATGTTCATTCGCCACAGCGAAATCCTTCAAGCGGGCACGAGTCACTTTTCGGCTGGTCCCGGAATAACACAAGTGGGTCACGAATATTGCCTAGAGTTTGAATAAGACATTTCATGCAATTACACTAACTTCTGAAGATACATAGAGAATACTACACGAGGTCTCATTACATACGAATTATACGAAACGAGTGTCCTTCCTATGGTATCTGACCGAGCGAAAGCGAGGTCAGATAACATAGGAAGGTCACGAGAGGTCAGATACCATAGGAAGGACACTCGTTTCGTATAATTCGTATGTAATGAGACCGAGTGTGGTATTTTATTTATTACCCACGTCTTACATGCATTTAAATTGACAAAATAGCGTATTTTTGTTATGTTTTTGGTTTCAAACCGAAACCGGTTTCATAAAGAGGTTGCGGAAGAGTTTTGTACTGTAGTACAATATTTGCATGACGTCACACTAATGACGTCACTGCCATGGTAACCGACGTCACGATGCATGTCAGTTGTCATCGCCTCGTACAGCCTCCTACAGTAAACTACTCCGTTGCACCTCGTTTCTTGGTTTCCCGTTTCTTCATTCGGCTAACATCACTGGTGGAAACATTGCGTTTATGTTTTTCGACAGATATAATGTCACAGTTCGACTCACAATTAAACAGCGACACGGCAACGTTCGCAATGTTTACATTCCCACAATGCATTTAAGTTGTAGAATGAATGAATTCACGTGTTTGTTATGAATGAAAAAATAGTTACGTCAGAATGTGACCTAATTGAGAGGTCATCGGTTATCCAATCAAATCGTTGGAATTTCAGGTCAAGTCGTTACGACACAGGTCAACGCGATACGACACTCGTGTGACGTACGAGATTAATATGCAACTACTCATACGTTGACCACGTGGGTAATAAAATACACATTATTATGTGGTCTAATCCGGATTCCCCTGTCATAGCCCTGATTCTGGAATTGTAAAATCTATTGAACTTATCAGGTGTCCGGAATGCATAAAGAACTAAACATAGTGCCCTTTGCCGAGTTCTTTACTTACACGAATGTCAGTGTCGTTCATTAGAGAAGCCCTCACTATTAGAGTTCCATTACCAAGAAGTTCCACTGGCTCATCCCCTGGGATAGTGGTGTATCTGGGCTGACTGTTTAGGTCAGGGTCTAACGACATCACACTTCCTATCACATACCCAACTGGAGCACTCTGAAATGAGAATGTTCTTCAAAATAAACTTTTATATTCCTTTAAGTATACACTACTACTACCAATACTACTACCACTACTTCTACAAATACTACTACTACCACTACTACTACCACTACTACTACCACCACTACCACTACTACTACCACGAATATTACCACTGCTACTACCACTACTACTACCGATACTACTACTACCACTGGAACTACCACTACTACTACTACCACTACTACTACCACTACTACTACTACCACTACCACCACTACTACTACTACCACCACTACCACCACTACTACTACCACTACTACCACTACTACTACCACTACTAGCACCACTAATACTACAACTACTACTGCTACCAATACTACTACCAATACTACTACTACCACTACTACTACCACCACCACTACCACTACTACTACCACTACTACTACTACTACCATTACTACCACCACTCCTACTACTACCACTACTACTACTACTACTACTACTACTACCACCACTACCACCACTACTACTACTACCACTACTACTACCACCACTACTACTACCACTACCATCACTACCACTACCACTTCTACTACTACTACCACTACCACTACAACTACCACTACTACTACTACTACAACTATTACTACTACCACTACTACTACCACCACTACTACTACCACTACCACCACTACTACTACTACCACTACCACTACTACTACCATTACCACTACTACTACAACTACTACTACTACCAATACTACTACCACCACTACCACCACTACTACCAGGAATACTACCACTACTACTACCACCACTACTACTACTTCTACTACTACCACCACTACTACTACCACTACTACTACCAATACTACTACCACCACTACTACTATCACTACTACTACCACTACCACCACTTCTACCATTGCTACTACCACCACTACTACTACCACTACTACTACCACTACTTCTACTACCACTACTACTACTACTATTACCCTTAAGTATACACTACTACTTCTACCACTACTACTACTATTACCTTTAAATATACACTACTACTTCCACTACTACTACTATTACCTTTAGGTATACACTACTACTACCACTACTACTACTATTACCTCGGCAACTACGACCACCAACACAGCTACTATTTTCACTACTGCTGCCGCTGCTACCTCCACTACTACCACCACCTCTACTACTACATCTACACCTATTACCACCATCACTACTACTACTAATCTCCGGAAATATATACACTAGGCAGATAAAGAAACTGTTCATACAAAAATTTTAAATCTAAATTGATCAAACCTGTGTAGACACATAAGGATTTAAACTCAGAGATTAGTGACATGTATCCAACATGCATGCACGTGCCACGTTCCGTGACGTCAGTGGGTTCGTCCTTGAGACGTGCAATACGTCGTTGCACGTGCATTCCGAGAAAGAGAAACAGAGCAAATGAATGCCACACAATACTGTCACTTTGGAAAGCTCAACCTCTGCCCTTGCGATCGTTCAAAAAATTAAACGGCTATTGAAACGCATAGCATGCCAAGGCTCACGTCTGCACAACGTCATGAGGCCATTGGGATGGTCCGTGGGGGAATGTCTCAACGACAAGTGGCTGCACATTTCCACTGCCACCGGAACACCATTTCTGCACTGGTAAGACGCTACCAGAACACAAATGACGTCATCGATCGGCCACGTTTTGGACGTCCACGTGTAACAACGCCAAGACAGGACAGATGGATAAGGGTGACCCATCTTCGCCACAGGTTTCAGGCTGCAGTGATGACTGCCCGAACCATCCCAGGACTTATCCACCCCAACACAGTTCGACAACGTTTACGTCATCACGGGATCAGACCACGACGTCCCGCCATACGGCCTATCCTGACACAACGTAATTGACAAGCTCGCAGAATGGGGTGCCGAAATCATGTCTTCAGACCCTTGTTTTGGTGGAGAAATGTTGTTTTTACAGATTAGTCCAGGTTTAACATTTCCCATAGGGATGGACGTCAACGTGCCTATAGACGCGTGGGAGAACGTTATGCACAGGCTTGTGTCTTTGAGAGGAATCGCTTTGGTGGTGGTTCCGTGATGACTTGGGGTGGAATAACAGCACACCAAAGATCTCCTTTGGTGATTGTTCAGGGCAACTTCACTGGTGTGGGCTACAGGGATCAGATTCTTCGACCTGTGGCAATTCCTTTTCTGCAACGTCATGGCCTAGGTTAACATTCCAACAGGACAATGCCCGCCCTCATACGGCAAGGGTTGCTATGGATTTCTTGCAACACCACAACGTTGACTTACTGCCTTGGCCTGCAAATTCACCGGATCTCTCCCCGATAGAGCATGTTTGGGACGAGATGGATCGACGTCTACGCCGTCTTCCTCATCCCCCAGATAACGTCCTTGACCTTGCAACAGAACTTGAGAGAATCTGGCGTGACATCCCACAAGCCTTCCTTGCACATTTGATAGGCTCTATGCGTCGTCGATGTACTGCTGTTCTCAATGCCGATTGTGGACATACCCGTTATTGAGCTTGTGACATGGTCGTTTGACCCCTGTCCCGCTTGTGGACTCGTGACGTCATTGTGATTGACTTTTCAACTAAAAATTCTCCCGACTTGTAATGATCCATGATCCCTCCATTAAAGTTTATATGTACCTTTGACATTGTTATCGTACTTATCAACTGGGATAATATTTTGGCAATGCACAGTTTCTTTATGTGGCTAGTATATAATGTATTGAGTGAGTATGGTTTCACATTCCACCAATACTCCGTCATTCGGCATCATACTCACGATAATGACGGGGGGTGGGGTCATCTCGCTAGGAGTTCAAAGAATATGCATATGCAATAAATACGCACCTGATATACAATAAATTTCTGCTGAGTGCTGTTGAAGTAGGGCAAGTTGTCGTTGACGTCTTCAACAATCACTTCAACATCTGTTGTCCTGTAGAGAAGGCTGTGTCGGTCTGTCGCCTTCACTGTCACATAAAACCGGCTGCCTGTCTCTTCACGGTCTACTTCCTCCCTTTGTCTTAACTCCCCAGTAATACTGTCTATTTTGTAAAAGCTGGAAGTGTTTGAAAGCTGAAAAGATCCACAATTACATGGGGCATGATTGCAATCGTGAACCTAAGTTTATAATACAAATACCGGGGAAGGATGGTGGGGATTCGAGTGACTTAATGAATTCAATATAAGACCTATTAAGTATTGGTTTGAAAAGTAACACTACTTACATAATTATCCCTGTCGAAAGCAGTTTAAAACCAACGGAAAGGTGATAAAGAACGGTCTGTTATACAGCAGCATCTAAAACACATGCATACATTCACTAAGCAAAGTGTACCTATTATATCATAGGTGCAGTTACACTCTTCTTCACTGGCTCTCCTCACATAGGCTCGTATGGAGACTGTTTCGTCCTCATCTGGTGCCTCGTTTTCCTTCACACGGAAGGTGTATGTCTTTTTGAAGAATGGACGCGGCTGGTCAGTTATGATGGAAATGGTAATCTGTGGGTAAAAAGGTCGTTACAATATTTAACACTGGTACTAGGACTAAACACAAACAAACCAATCCGTAACTTGACCATAACACAGCTTTGAAGGGCGAATGGGTTTTCCTTTGTGGATCTTTCGGGTGAATTTTTTATCCGATATATACTATCTCCTGTTAACCGAACTTTGGTAATATCTAAATGCGACAGAATATAAAATTACGTTTGTGATTGTTTCCATAGCAGGGTCTGTCTGGGGTATGTCTGTCGCCTTGATCCTCAGAGTGACCTTGTCATCATTCACTGCATCTAGGGCTGTAGCCACGTATATTCTTCCTGTATCACGATCAATCCTGAAGTAGCCTGTGTCTAGAATACATGGAGAAGTATTAACACGTGCATGTCTGTGAAATCCGACACACTGACTACGTAGGACTGTGTGTTTTCCAGAAATGAAAAGACGCGAATCGAAGGTAATTCACTATCCTTTTGACAATTGTTTTCGGCTCATGAAGCGTCTCTGTTCACTGCACTTTGATAAGCCATTCTGGATATGTGCGTTTTACCTATTTTACCTAGATTATTGTGCATTACATACTGTTAACGGAGAGACGTATGTGTGCTTCTTATTAAGAGGGGTACAATGTTATTTTTAACAACAATATAATAAGTTGTCATACAATGTTTTATCATTTCAAAGTATTGGACAAAACCCATATCTGGTACCAGAGCAACTCGCACTAACAATGGCAATATTGGGTGTTACAAACAGTTCCATCGATACGCTTGAGGTAGCGGCAGCAGATTGAAGAGAGACACAAGATGACAAGAGAACAGCTAGGGGATGCTGTTCCGAGAAGGATTAGTGTTACATGGCGGTTCTAGTATTGTCGTTAGCGTCCACCCATCTCGTTCCTAGTATGAACTATGAGGAACAGGTCTGGAGAACCAGTCGAGCGTGGCAGTGTCGACATGCTCTACTGCCTTCTCCAGTCGTCATGGTGCTGCGTCTTTACGTACTGCTTGCGAAGCATATTATCGCGAGTAATGTCCTCCTGGTAGTGTTGGTCATTTATATTTCCATTAACAAAGATCCCTTGTGATGTCGCTACATACTATTACACATTCACACCACAACTGACAACACCGAGTGACGCGATCGCCCTAAACCTTTCCCCCGGATGCCTGTCGACCCATGCATGACCATCACAGCAAGCAATGTGAAGCCTGGATATAGTCAGTATACGGTCTCAGGCAAAACTTCTTTAACTGAAATGCTGCCTATACCAAGCTAGTCGTGCCTGATGGAGTCTTAGATATCGCTAGACGTCGTGGTCGGATGCTAAGCTCCCACAAACGGTTTCGACATTGGTCTGAACCCAGGAATTGTCCCTGCTATTAGTGTGGCAATACCGTAGATACAACACATCAACACACCCCACCCCCCAACCCCCCTCTCCAAGAGATAATATTGAGTGCAGCCAACGTCCCCGAAGAGAAAATATTAAGTGCAGCCAACATCCCCCAAGAGATAACATTAAGTGCAGCCAACATCCCCCAAGAGATCAATTCTTTAATTCAATAGCAGCAGCAGTAGCAGTAGCAGCCTTCAAGCTGCAGCGACGACGATTGTTAGCATAGAAGATGACCATGGCAGGATTTCTTAAAACCAGAGGAATAGCATTACACATCAGTCGGTTAAATTTACACAAGGTTGGATGGGTGAAAACATCGACAGGGATAAAACGCTTACGTAGATCATCATAAGCAGTACAAATCAATAAGAAGTGGTACTCATTTTCTACATAGTTACAGGAACACATTTCACACAATTTTAAGCTGTTTGGTTTATTTATATATCTACCAGTTTCTATATTGAATTGGTGTGACCTATACCTGAACTTCGCGAAGGCAATACGAAATTCCTTGATAGTTATGCAATGGAGATATGGTTCAACACCAAACATTTATTTAAATTGAGAATATAAATACGTTTTTGAGCCATTAGACAGCGAGGAATGCCATTCCTGTAAATATACGTTTTGGGCTCTAGATATGAATTCAGAAATAAAAAGGTTTATTATAGGAATACACTGATTTTCCAATACGTATCCAAAACTCATTGTATACAATAAGTTTGTCAATTTTGATACCCAGTTAATTTTACCATTTGAAGCATCTAACAGTAATAATTTATAAAACTTCGTAGGAAAACGTGTAGAAGGCATAGTTCATAGTACAATTTGTACCAATACATAACACAGCGTTTGTACGCAAAGATATACATAGGGTATCTCCCAAATTCGCCACGTACAACGTGGGTGGGGGTGCATAGTTTAACACAGAGTAAATATTTACAAGCTAAGGTATGAACTGTTTCAATAGATGAATTAGAATCACAGTCTAGACCACATAGTTCGGCTCCATATAGCAAAATAGGCATGACTTTAGTGTAAACAATTCTGAAGAAGACATTACATTTCATGTGTTAAACTTTTCAAAATACCAAACAGAGCCTCTTTGGATTGTAAAGTAGAGCTCTCAAAATGTTTATGCCATGGTAATGATTGTGAAAATACTATTCCCAAATATCTATATGAGGAAACACAATCAATTAATTTACCTCCTAAATACCTCCGAAACATAACAATTTTTGATTTATCTAAGTTGACATATAGCTTACATTCCTTGCAATGCTGTTCAAGGACATTAATACGTTTTTGAAGCCCGTAGATGGTGTCAGAGAATAGAATAACATCTTCAGCAAACAGAAGCAGAAACAACCGAGTTAATTCTGGATTTAACTGTATGTCCGGATAACACAACGATTCTATCCTATCAGCTAAATCGTTTATGAAAATGGAAAACAAGAAGGGACTCAAGAAACAGCCTTGACGAACTCCAATATTACAATCAAACAACTGTGAAAAAGAATTATTGACTTGAACGCAAAATTTAACACAACTATAGATTGATTTGATGCAACCTACATCTTGGGTGTTAATCCTTTCTGTTGTAAAACTAGCCATAATTTCGAACTATTTACCAAATCAAATGCTTTCGAGAAGTCGACGAAGAAAGAATACAATTTACCCGTTTTCGACAGAATTTTCTGTGTGATAGAATGAAGAATAAAGATGTTGTCGACAGTAGTCTGTCCTAAACCCTGCCTGTGGCTCGGATATTTTAGCATAAGCTTCACTCCAAAATTTAAGTCTATCGTTAATAATTGCAATATACAGTTTACTAAATACATAGAGGATAGTAATTCCTCTAGAATGGGAAACAGAATCTCGATCTCCTTTTTTATGAATAGAATAGAGACAATAAGACCAACCGACCACTGAGCAAGAAACACACCATTCTCAGAGATCATGTTGAATAAAACTGTTAAATACGGAACAGGAATATCAGAATAGGACTTGAATAATTCAGCAATTAACTTATCATCACAAGCATATTTAGAACACTTTAGGGTATCTATTGCTTTGGTAACCTCCTCTACTGTTATAGACGAGTCCAGAATTGTTGTAAAATTACTTTCCGTGGGCTGATATTCACTATTGTAATAAGTTGTATTACGATCTTCCAAACGAGCAGCGTACATATTACAGAAATAATCAAATCACTCTTGCAAAGATATATTGAGATGAAGTACAGATGACCCCGAAAACCTTTTGAATATATTCCAAAGTGCTTGACTATTAAACAGTTTGTCTATTAACATCTCACTATCTTATCCTGATACAAACGTTTCTTTTCTCTCACGACAGAAGAAAATAATTTCTAGCCGTCAAAAATCTCTTTAAATTATCATCAAGACTAATCTTGATGATAATGTTCAGTACAGCCAATGTCACCCAAGATATAATATTGAGTGCAGCCAACCCCCCCGAAGGTATAATTTTGAGTGCAGCACAATTTAACAAAAATGATTTTATGAGCACCTGGCAGCTACAGATCATCGTGCATTTCTACAAAAGAACGAGCAAACATACTTTGCGCCTTACATAAACATGCCCCTGCAAACTGTCAGTCATGTCCTTACAGTCGAGGAGGTGTTTCTATATAATGAAAGATGAATTATTTCATTTCAGTACACACCATTTATTGAAGCAGTGTTACGTCTTTCCGTTAGCGTATACATCTCGTCATAATATAAGTTGTTCACTGGTCACGAGGGGGGCATGGGTTGATGTACCCCGAAGGGCGAGGGGAACATAAACAAACATCGAGGGTACATCAACCCGTGCTCCCCTCGTTACCAGTGAACGTGTTTATCTTACCGAACACCTTAATGTCAAATTTGAATTGTTTGAGGCACGGGTACAAATCTTTTTGTAGTCTCGCTAGATTTTGCCGACAAGAAAAACAGATTTAGAGTTATATCCCTTCCGTCGATTTGCATTCGCAAAATATCGGTAATTTCCGTACATCATACGTGATTCAATATTATTCGAGATAAAGAATTACTACCACGAAGTACCAAATGAGTTGCCATTGACAGCGGGTTACATTGAAATGTTACTTGCTTGTAAGCGGGGTACATTGAAAATACTAGAAGAGAGCTCAGCCAATCAGAAAGCGACATGTATGTGTGAGGTAAGATAATGTAACCTCCCTGAGCGACGATACATGTATGTTTACCTTGGACAGTTTATGATATATGTGTACAATACATACTTGATACAATGTGGTATTTTACAACTCCATTGCCGTCAATGACGCCGTCCCTGTCAGTTGCTGTGATGGTGTCAGTGACGAGACTGTTGATGCCAGCGTCTCTTGATATGTTGGCCCGGTAATGAGCCCCCTGAAACACCGGCGGGTTGTCGTTGAAGTCAAGGATGGTGACGGATAAGGTTGTCGATCCAGTGAGGCGTCCGCTGACATTGTCGCACCCATCTATGTCCACGGCAGTCACAATGCATTCATATGTTGAAGTTGTCTCGTAGTCGAGGTCGCCGCTCACTTCAACGACTCCAGTGTCTGCAGAGGAAGGGTTAGATTTAGTCTTTTTAAAATGACGTATCTGTGTCAGATCATCCCATGCAAACACATTCCAATTTCAATCAATTAATTCAGGTATTTTGAAAGATAACACAATTCCACATTTTCCCTTTATCTTAACCTCTGTATGTTTGGGTCAGGATATCACCTCATGTTGTCTATGTTGTATCAAGAACACATGTGCGACATGTTGGTTTATTCGTCCCTTGTTTAATGAATCCTCAGGTGTTTGAAATCAAACACCATCTAACACGATAGTTATGCTAAAATTGATCCTACAGTCAGGGCAAAGTGTAAAAACAATTCTGCAGACTAAAGTAAACTTACTTCGTGACACGATGAATGGACACAAAGTTCCGTTCGCCATGACAGTGGTGGCAAAATAAGTCACAGCGCCATAGCATGAGACGTCCCTGTCAGCCGCTGTCATGGTCTGCACCTGGAGTTGAAGGAAATGAAACCATTGACAAGAAAGCACAACAAGACAGACATTAGGACAGTTTGTCACCAACACCTTGGATCATCACTGACGCTGAATGATACATTCATACAAGTTTCACAACTATTTACCCTTTCAGCCCCCAATGTTTTGATAAAAAGACTGGTATTCACATACCGCTGTTAACTTAACTTCAACATAGATGTCACCACTGGTAACCATCAAATGTTTAAAGAAAGAATAAACTCGTGTTTTTTGTAGTCTTTTAACCATTACATATGAAACACGTGAGGTTAGTCTTAAGCGGAACACCAAATTCTGCTACAGTGACTTTAATTCACGTTATTACCAAGGTTACCTCCCTTGGATGGACGTCAGCTTGTGTGCAGTTATGGACAGTAACTAAAGTGTAAGTGAGTGGGATTCGAACAGTATTTCCGTTATAGGCTGACGCCTTCGCTTCGTATTCTGCAGACGCCATGATAAAACTGAAATACACTTCGAATCCTCGTTTTCCTTTAGCTACTGCTCCTGAATACACTCAAGCTAACATTCATGTAGCATACGTGTATCGGCAGGATTAAATTAACACATATAAATATCAGTCACTGATATTTCAGAGGCAACATGGAATTGACCTCGTTCATAGGAGATAAAAATGTAATCACGTATGTGTGGCTTAGGGATCGATGTTCTTCAGTATTTGGAGAAAACACCATATTTGTAACTCGCCATTACTAAGTGCAATGTATATTCCCTACAGATGGATCTTTAACAAGCCCACATGCACTCGTATGATACTCTTCATGTGTACACCTAGGCTCCTGCAACCAGTGCTTTACCGTGTTACCTCCATGTAGATATCTATGCTCATTGCTTCATATCCTATCAGTTTCCATTTGGTGTTGTTTGTTTGTCGTTAAACGCTGCACTCAGCAATATTCCAGCTGTATGGCGGCTGTCTGAAAATAATTTGGAGTCAGACCAGACAGTCCAGTGATCAACAGCATGAGCATCGATTACCTGTGTGGACATGGCGCTATCTTCCTTCACTGCCACTGCATATGACGTCTCGGTGAATGTCGGGGGGTTGTCGTTGACGTCCATGATGTGGATGGTAGCCTGTGTTGTTGCAGTTCTGGGAACGTCTGCATTATCCGTCGCCTGGACATGAAATTAGACATTTGATTTCGGTTACCATAAAAGCATTTAAAACACAAGGTGTAAAATCCTTTCTAGATTGAATACCCATGTGTTAACTTGTGTCTAGCCAAGTAGTCATATTTCATCAGATTAGATGAGGATGTTCTGGAGTTACCTTGATGGTTAAGCTGTAGTTGCTAAACATTTCTCTGTCTAGATCCCCCGACACAGTAATGCTTCCAGTTCCAGGGTTTACCGAGAAATCTGTGAAGTGTGAAATATATACAATACAATACGTAACGAAAAAAATGAATATTCAAACATGTAATTTTTATAATAAAATTAATATTATATACTTATCCTGACTCATGCTATATGCGTATCTCTCTTTTCCTTCGAACAGTACGTGGAAACTTGAATCCCTTTGCTCCCTGAAGCAAACGTAAAATCACTCACCCAGGTGGGTTACCTCCCTTCCACTTCCCTGCCACCGTGTCCCATGTGACCAGCACAGCAAGCATGCTCTTGCCACTCTCTGCTGAATTTCAGCCCGCACTCGAACCTTCAGGGAGATCCGAAGTGCTGAGAGAGGACGGCTGAGAGGGCCCTTCAGATCATGAGTCAGGATAAGTATAAAATATCAATTTTATTATAAAAATTACATATTTTTCCTTATCCTGACTCAGCTTATATACTTAAGGAATCCGTCGGAAACAGGTGTTAGGTCAGCCACGTTCCCGGAATCCCTGTGACGGAATAGTCAGTATAGCGTTTGCTGATATACCCCTAGGAGCTCTTCTTACGGTTTCATCGTGTTGAGTTTTGAAGAAACTGGGGGACCACCTATTTCTAAATAAATATACAGCAGTAATTTATTAGAATTGGTGGATTTAATAACTAGTATCTACGATGTCTAGTTATCTGCAACGACTCGCATGTTAAGGTAAGTATGTTACTATAACTGATTCGAGACCCATCTGTTCAGGTAAGAACGTTTGTGCCTAACCGGCATCTGCATGTCAACGTGATATGGGTGAGTTTTTCATCATCTGGCAGGAATCATGAGTTGTTGCGCTACTACAAGAGGTCCGAACTGGTGTATCCCGGATACGTCTTCTGTAGCAATATCCCTCAGATAATAATTCGGACATACTGTGTCCGATCTCCAAAAGCAGCCCTCCATTATGGATGATAATGAACAATTCCCATGTAATGCGAGTGTTGAGGCTAATGACCTAATCTCATGTGGGTTTGAAGCCGTAGGCGCGTCTAACACTCCTGCTCTGTAAGCTCGTAGAATAATGGTTCTGATCCTAAACGAGATAGTAGTTAGGGACACTTCAATAGTCTTGGCGGGTGATAGCAGGATGAAAAGACGCTTGAAATTTCTCCTCCTTGTAGAAGCTTTCTCCAGGTATATTTTCAGCGCTCTGACTGGACACAAGGGCAGATCTTGCGTCACGTCTGGTCCCAGTATGGTAGATAGTGCTGGGACATGAAAGTGTCTATCTGGCTGGCCTAGCAGCTGATTTTTCGCAATACAATCCCATCGAAGTCCTAAATGCAGCATGTTGTCCGTTGTCGAAACTAGTTCGTCCAAATGTATTCTTGCCGCTGTAGCCAGTGCGAGGAGAAACAACGTCTTTTGTGTTAATTGCTCAAACGTTGTCTGTCAGTGGCTCGTAAGCATCGCTGGTCAAGTGTTGCAGCACTATGTTGAGATCCCCAGGCTGGTGCTCTGAATCTCTGCTGTTGATCTTCCAACTTGAATGATCTCAATAAGGCGACGAGTTCTGGCACTTTGGTGAGTTTGACACCCGAATCCATGGTAATCACTGAGTTGATTGCCGTCAAATATGTCGAGAGTGTAGATCCCTTATGGTGCCTAGTAGCCCTCAGATGACATAAGTAATCTGCTGCTTGAGGATGCGAGGCCTTAACAGCTGAGAATCCCTTCTGCGTAGCAAACTGGTCAAAACGTTTCCATTTATCATCGTAGAGGTTCCTAGTTGAATGTCTTACGGCCATCGTGACTGCCTTAGCTGCTCTCGTGGAATAACCTCTTTTCTTCAAGCAGTGCGTAATATGTTCCAAACGTGAAGTCGGAATCCTGTGGATTGCCGTGATGTTGTCGTGTATGTGAATGGATCAGAAGATTCGGCCAGTCTGGTAGGCGCATTGTTGGTTCTCCTATGAACAGTATTAGGTCAGGAAACAGGTTTTCGCTGGACAGCAGGGCGCGACCAAAAGCAGACGTAGTATCTTGGTCTGTGCTATGTTGTGTAGTACTTGTAGTAACAGGACCGGTGGTGGAAATGCATATGCGTGTTGTCCCTCCCATGAGATTGATAATGCTTCCCAGAGCCCAGGCTTGAGGATCCGGTACTGGTGAGACATACGTTGTCACCTGGTTATTGACGCATGTCGCAAATAAAACTATGAGAGGACGACCTTGGTCTGCTATCTGTAGTTGGAATGCCTCTAGGTGTGTCATCCACTCTGTGGGTGATGGATGTCGTGGTCTGGTTAGGACGTCGGTTAACACGTTCTTTGCTCCCGGGATGTGGCAGAGTTGAGGTCGTCTGCTAAGGTGAACACCCGGAACGTCAGTTATAATAGAAGTGCCGACCTTGTTGAGCCTTGTACATTTATGTAGAAGGCTACAGTCGAGTTGTCTGTGTGGATCATGAGAAACTGATTCCTTAGGAGCTGTGCCCAATGCTGAACTGCGTTTATGACCGCCTTGAATTCCATCGCATCCTCGTTGCAATGCGCGTCCCATCCTTGCAGTGATGCGTCCACTAAGATATGAAGGTTGGATGCGTGCTCTTGTAAATAAGTTCTGCCGTAGACATTCAATTTGTCTGTCCACCATAGCAGGTACGAATTTAAATGTAGAGGTTTTTCAATACTCTGCACACTGAAGAGATGAGGCTTGAGAAATCGTTGTAACGGTCTCAGCTGTAACCTTCCTCTGCGTGTGAGAGCTTGTGCTGAAGCCAGGAGGCCTAGTAGACACTGCCACATCCTTATTGGTAGAGCATAATTGAGTGCGTCTGAAAGACAAGCTTGCATATTTGTCCATCGATCCTTCTGAACGGTGATGCGATTCAATGTAGTCTGGATTCCTAGAAACTGTATGTCTTGTGATGGCTCTAGTTCCCACTTCAATAGATTTACCAGCCAGTTGTGGTTAACACATTTTGGGGAATCACATGTAGAGTTTACACAAACAAAATCACCAAAAATGGTACCATTAAGATACCCCAAAGTCAGTATCGTGTGTGGCCTCCATGGGCATCGATGAAAGCGTTGCTTCGTCTGTAATGGAATGAATTCGCCGGTTGATGAAGGCCATAGGCGCTTGGATCCATACACTGTGAAATGCCTGATCAATTCCAGCCACAGTTGTCGGCCTTGGTTTGAGGTCATTCAGTTTTCTTTGAATCTCGTCCCAAAGGTACTCAAATCCGGACCGAGTGCTGGCTATTGTAAGGTTTGGATGGCATATTGTCTTGGGATGCCCAATGTTACTCTGGCAGTGTGGGCACGAGCGTTGTCTTGCTGGAAGATGTGATGTCTGTAACGTACAAAATGTGGCACAACGTGGAGTCTTATGATTTGGCCAATATAGCGAGCAGGTGTCAGATCATTTCCTCATCCTAGACCAAGATTCTGGAACACCAGGGTGCCAGCTATCTGGTTCCGACCGATTGCACCCCACACCATGATGCTTGGACCACCCCACGAGTCTCTTTGAACAACACACTCAATGGAAAACAGTTCCCCACGCCTTCACCATACTCTCACTCTGCCATCGACTGTCGAAACACAATATCGGCTTTCATGAGAAAAAAGCACTGTCCTTCATTGTTGATAACGCCAATTTCGATGCTGAGTTGCCAATTGCAGTCGGTTTTGGTGGTGATGAACGATGAGTACATGACTACGATACGGTCTATGACAGCAGAAGTTTTTTTCCGCGCAAACGTCAATGCACTGTTTCGACACAGTTGGGTCTGTTGTGAGTCCAAATGGTCTGGCGTGCTGTTTCCGTCGCTCTGGGGAAGCGATCCTGCAGATGGTTGCGCACAATCTGTCGGTCTTGACGTTGTGATGTTACTGAAGGTCGTCGACTGTGTGGACTGTCTTGGATGCTGTTTGTGACCTAATACCACTCCTGCTGTCCTAACATGAACATTAAAAGGATTGGCTACCCTCTGTGCAGTCGGGATAACTTGCAATCGTCCCAAGACTTGGTTCCTCTGATCTCTCTTAACTCATTAAGGCCGAGAGACGCATATATGGGGCAAATTAATCAGCTCCTAACAGCGAGTGACGTGTTTATGGGGCAGGTAATTAGCAGTTTCTCACAGCGAGAGCCACATACAGTCGTCAACAGAAAGACACCTCTTATTCAGCGAGAGACGCACATGTGTGTCGCACTGTACCTATTATTTCAACCAACTTAGGAGTACTGAGCAAATGTTAGCTTTTCATACGAGAGATCCCACCTTTAGTATTAATCAGAAGAAGTATTTAAAGTGTTTTGATAACAAATGCTAATCATTATCATAGGATCGTACAGCGTTTAGCAAATGAACACATGTAGGCGAGAAAGGGGATTATGATGTTTTTACAGAGGTAAGTGCCTGGTACTCTTCCTTGGGAATGGATACTAAAATACTTCGTATGCACCTTGATTGAATTAGATGTAATGGTTTAGAGGTTACTAAAATTATATTTCCTTCAACTACCTAATAAATAGGAAACAATATACGAAATTTCAAGGACATACAAAGGGATTCAAACACAATAGAATAGTTTGAATTTACCTTTTTTCATATACTGAAACATAATGTATAAACACAAGTAATTATACATCCAAGCTCGAATAGATTAAACATAATTGAACTTACTAATTTGAAGTTTACTGAATTGTAACTAGTTGTTTTCCATAATCTAAAGTTCGTAATGTTACCTGAGCGAATATAAAGTGACAAGTCGCGCCTTTGCATCGAATACATATATACATGTCAGTGTTATTACAACAATGAAATGTTTTACTACGTTTGTTACAAAAGACAGTAAGTTGGTAATTCAAAACATTGTCACACATGGACAGAAGTAATATCATAAGTTATTACATGTAAGCCATACAAAGGTATTTCAAGCATTTTTGTTCCAGCTGTTGAAAGTTTCATGTTGATTTGAATTGTCAGTTTTCTATGCAATTTACATGAGCATTCTGTAAAACGTTTGTA